CGTTGAGCGCCGCCGCCAGGTCCGCGTCGAGGTCGTCGGCGGAGGAGTCGTCGCTCATGGCAGTCCGGCGCAGCGCCGCCTCCTGGAAGGCACTCTGTTCTCGCAGGAACTCTGCAAAATGGCCTCTCAGCTGCAGCAGAGCGAGCTCTGGTCGGCCATCGCGCGATGGGGAACAGGCCAGGAACGAGCGCACATCGAACTCAGCACGCACCTCCTCCGCGGCTGTGGAAGCAATAGAAGAGCCCGACTCGCTGCATGATGCGTCGGCACGCTGCTGCTGGCTTGGCACTTGGCCGCCCACGTCACAGTTCGTTTCACGGAGCGCCTTCAATCGCGTGTACGCCTCTACGGCCCCATCGTCGTTGACGCTATCCGCGTCCGTCGCAGCCACTCCCGTGGCGTCGCGCGAACCGATGCGCGGCATGCAGAGAAGCAATTAGGGGGCGAGCGGGGTGTATTGCAATACGTACTCTGCGGACCCAACGGAACGTTTTCGGACTGTTCCAAAGGAGTCTAATCGAGGGGGAACGTGCATGCCACGATCTCGGGATAATCCGGGGAGAGTTAATGAAAGGACAGGGTAATTAGATTTCGGTGGGAGGTCGTGGCGTGGCATGATTGGTGGCAGAAAAAACGGAAGTCAGTGTAAGGCTTTTAATACGAGGGAAGAAGACTGCTGACAGGGTTTGCGATGAGGAGGGATGCCTAGGCGTGAATTTACCGCCCTAGAAATAAATTTAAAACGCGTGTATTGCCTGTTTAGCGCCGATCTTACCGCTTATTCGAATGTCTTCTTACGTTGCTTCGTGAGCGATTCAGCCGTCATTTTCCCTCCTTTCGCCCGCCCTTCACCCGCTCTTCCCCCGCCTTTCAGCCGCCATTCAAGACACATTTACACAACGTTTGACCGCGTTTCACGAACATGTTTTCCGCTCTTCGGCGACACGGTTTGCCTTGAAGTTACCGCACCGACGCTAAATTCAAGCCCCTTCAAGCCAATTTATGGGCAGGTGGGCAGGAACACTGCTTGCTGCTGCTAAGCACCCGCACCGCCCAGTGAGTAGTGTCGCGGGCTAGGATAAGGACCATGATCTGGCTTCCACAGATCCCACATTTCATGATGAGGGAATCAATGCCGAGCAGCTCCGAGTGCTGCGAAGAGTGCAACAGCACAGCTTGCCAGGCCGCCTGGACTAAGTGCAACTGCAGCCCAGACAGACGGCTTGCGGCATGCACCGCCGCCAGCTCCAAGAGTGAGAGGGATACATGGTTGGTGAGGGAGTGCCAAGTCAGTAGCGAGGAGGTCCAAGCCTGCAGGAGGGCACAGCTAATCAAGGCGCAGGCGCGCCCGCCATGACTCCACCCTTGTTGTTCACGAGGCTTGCACGCCCAGCCACCAAGAGAAGCAGCAAGCATCCAAGGCAGAAAAGATCATAAATCAGCCGCCAGACTTCACGTTGTAGCCAAGGTAGTACAGCTGCCTGCAACACCACCCGCTCCAGGTGATGGCTTGACCCAAAGACGGCGCTGGCTGTGAACCCCTCTGCAGGCGTTGGGGCTGCAGCTGCAAGGGCCACCCTTGCAGCTTGGGTGGCCTTCTGAAAAGCAGGACTGCGGATGGGGGGAGATCCGTCATCGCCCTCTTTATCGCTCAAGTCAACGAGTGCTTTTTGCAGCAAAGTTACGTCAAGGCCCGACGCTCCGGCCAGTAGCTGCTCTTGAATGCTTGTGAAGACGGCGCCTGTCACTGCACGCAACTCGGGGCGTTTGAGTTTGTCCCACCCTGATGGCAATTCTGAAAATACCTCCGAGATATTTTCAATAAGGTCCTTCTTTTGCATCTTGTCAACAGGTCCCTCTTTGCGCGCCTGTGCTTTTCTCTTTTTAGCGGCCTGCTGCTCCTGACGTCATTCGAGACGTCAACGCCATTGGCCGCGGCCAGCAGCTGTTGCAGGCCGCTCGCCTTGGTGCCGGCTGGCACCTGCAGGTTCACCGAGACGGTGGGACCCTGCTTGCACGCGATGAGCAAGGGCTCAGTCGCGGCCATGTGTCTTCTCGCCCCGCGCGCCTATGGCCACGAAACGCGGAAGAAGAATTCACCGGGCTCATGCGCGCGAGGGAGTTTTGTTGTCGTGCATAGTAGCAAGACGTGCTCTCGACAGCTTAGAGGGCTAAGTAAGACGCGCTCATTGTTGCAATGTCATTGAGGCAGGAAAGAGCTCGCCGAGGAGTCGAGGGCTCCCGACCACGCCGGACCCAGCCAGGATAAGGCATGCTTGCCTTAAACTGCCATGAAGAGCACTAAATTTGCGGTAAAAATCTCTTGAAAATTACGTCTGAACGGAGGAAGAATGGCGAGAGAATGGCGGGAGAATCTCTCGCAAATGAACAGCGAAGGGCGCAGTGAAAAACGATAAAACAAATCTTCAAACCGCCTTGTATTCATGGTTAGGCACCCTCGGATGAGGAGCGACTCCGAAGGGTATCCTCAGGGTTAGTGCACGACTAACCGCCTACGCAAGAGAACTGCGACGTATCGGTCTCGTACTCGCACACCCCACCCTCGCGAGCCGATACGTCGCCCGTGCCGCCGGCGCCACCCCCGCCCTCGCCCTCAGCGAGCCGGTAGGAGAGTCAAAACCCCTCATATTTGAGACATCGTGTCCCATATACTGTGCAACAACCCGGAAGGGGGGAAATTCAGATGCTCCGACTCGCTTTGATTTCGATCCGTTGAGGCAACTCGAACTGGTATCCCGCGAGCGCGTACCCCACTCTAGCCACTTTTTCGGGTTTTTGATTACGGATACGGTAGTGCAGGCCTTGGGTTTGATTAGCCAAAAACTCCCATACCGGTAAAGTTTGAGCACTGCTCACATCACACACCATGCGTAGGCGCTGGTTTGCACGTGTATTCCACGTTGGCAGCATGTCCCCACCCCCGGTACCTCCTCTCCCTGCCACACACGCTCTCGCCTCTCCCTTCACGGACGCCCCGAGCGCGGGAGCTGCTCTCTTACGTCTCAGGACCGGCCCTTCTTCTTGGCGGCCTTGCCAGTCTTCCGCTTCTTCGCTGGCGGCGCGGCGGCGCCTTTGCTCACCGCCCCCGTCCCCCGCCCTGCTCCGCCCCCGGCCTCCGCCGCGGCGGTCCCGCCCGCCGCAAAGGGCGAGACTAACGTCGCGGTCGCGGCCTCGTCCTCGTCGCTGTCCCCCAACGCTCCCTCCGCCGCCGCCGCCGCCGCCGCCGCTGCCGCGCTGCTCTCCTCCACCTCCTCCTCTCCCGCCGCCGCACCGCCGTCCGCCATCTCGACGTCCGCCGCGGCGGGCGGGGCGGCCGCCTCCTCGCCCGCGCCGCCGGTGCCACCCTCGCCCTCGCCCGCAGCGGGCGGGGCGGCGGCGGCGGGTCCCGCGCCAGCCTCGACGGTGGTCGCGCCGCCCGCCGCCTGCCTCTGCGGCAGCCGCCCCGTCTTGGCGAGCACGACAGCGCGCGCCGCCATCTCCTCCGCGTGCCTCGCCATCGCCGCCTGCACCGCAGACAGCCGCGACGGAGCCAGCGCCGCGGCGAGCCGCACGGCCTCGGAGACGGTCTCCTACGGCGCGTGGGGCGGACGCGTCCCGGACGTGTCCCGCGCACCCGCGCGCCCGCCGCCCGCCGCCCAGCCCGCCCCCGCCTGGTGCGCGGGTAGCCCCCCGAGCTTGTGCAGCGCGCAGAGCTCGTCGTACTGGTTTGTCACTACCACGAGCCGCCCCTCCTCGACGAGCTCCTCGCGGTCCGTCGGGTCGACAGCCAGCACGGCGGCGGAGCCGCCCCCGCCGCCGCCGCTCCCGCCGCCGCCGCCGCCGCCGCCGCCCCCTCCCGCCGGCCGGAAGAGGCCGAGCGTGGTCGAGACAGGCATGTGATGAAAGACGAGCTTCGTGGGCTCGGCCTGCTCGGGAGGGAGCACCTTCACCGCCGCCTCGGACCCGCTGCCGACGATGCTCACCGCCGGGAGCCGAAAGTGGAGCAGCGCGCCGAGCGCGGCGGTGCACGCCGCGTCGGCGGCGTTGCCGCGGTCGTCGAGGAGCGTCACGTCGCAGCGGATGGACCAGACGCGCTTGCCCGCGACGATGCAGAGCGCCTCGACGTCCACCGCCTGCGCCTTGCGGAAGGCCCGCTCGAGCAGCCGCACGAGCTCGACGGCGGAGTCGGACGGCCGGCCGGGCTCGTACGCCGGAGAGGCCATCGGCGAGAGCTCGACGAAGAAGAGGAGCTGCCCCTCAGTCGGCCGGTCGGCAAAGGGCTCGACCAGCTCCGCGCTGACCGCAGCCATCACCTTGGTCTCGCCGAGCCGCACCTCGACGGA